TTTTGATGTAATTCTTCTCCCCTTCAGGTGTTCCTGCATCGTACTTCAATCATTCGTGTGCGCCAAATGCATACATTACCTCTCAAAATGGGATCAACATCTGTGTCGTCGTTCGACCAGTCCGGAAAGGTGATCAATTATGCATAACATATGACGAAATGATTATGTTGCATTCAAAGGCAAAGCGTCAAGAAGAGCTACGGTCCAAATTCAATTTCAACTGCAAATGTGAACGATGCAAATCACCGCAATTGGAATTAGCCAGTCTCAAATCAAGTCATCAAATCAAATCAGACCCAAATTTCGAGTCAACGATTGATGATCTCTATCTGAGTTCAAAAAATATTCGGGCTTTTCAGGATATTTTGTCATTGAAAGCAAAATTATTCAGTTTGTTGAAGAAGCATAAGAAAGTTATATGGTCTGTTGAAATTTCTGATAGCATATATCTTTTATACGTACTAGCGTTGATCGAACCAGATAGCGCCATTAGTGGCATGCCCTTCACTGGACACGTTCTTAATTATCAATCCGACTGAAAATGACAATGTGCTCAAATAAAATTCAAAACAAAAAAATCTAAAATCATTTTAACGATTTTATTCAATAAAGTTTAAATATAAAAATACCTCTGTTGTGCATTTATTTTCTGTATTTAATTTTTTTAGATTACAATAAATGAATTTGTCTATCTTAACATTTTTAAGCGACTATCGAATTAACGACTTCAAGTTAATCATTCTTAAACAGTAATCTACAAAATTCATCAATAATAAGATCAATTAAAATGTTCAATGATAGATGCGAAATTCAGAATATTTGAGCATACAAAATTTAAAAATTCTTCACCAGTTGGTTGGAATTGAGGATTTACAACCGACAATCGACAAATATTGACATTTGCTATAGGTAGGGACATTACAAAATTATATTGACAATATAAAATTGTTGAAATAATTGTTATGAAAAAATGTTAGACGTTTTTGATTACTTTCCTGTCGAATACAAAATCGAATAACATTTTATTTTGGCGCTTGAGACCTGTCAAAATTAGCGCAATATGCTTCTTTTATGATTTCCACACAAACAAGGTTTTATAGTTTGCATGTGTATGTACATAAGTAAAGCGTCCAGTCTCTTAGCAGTGTATGTGTGTCACACAGCAACGTCTGACAAGGAGTTTACAGTTTAACATTCCGAACATCGTATTCAGGGTGCTTTGATCGTAGCAAGCTATTATAGTATTTTTTACGTAGGTTGCTCCATAATTTTTTTTAAAATGGTACTTATAGTGTTGCCCGATGTAAACCATTGTCATATTCGTAAAGTTTGATGTTTTGGTATGTATTCGTGCCCTGAACCTTTTGTCGTACGAACGCTATTTGTATTGTTTACAGTGACTGGTAAACTGCGACTCAACAAAAAAATGAATTTTACACGTGAAGATTTTCGTAAAATGATTTACTACGATTTTCGAAGTAAATTATCTCAACAACAGTGTTTCGATCGACTTCATTTGGCCTTTGGCAATGAAGCACCAACCCTTCAGACAATTTATAACTGGTACCGAGAATTCCGTTGCGGTCGTAGTTCGCTCAAAGACGAGTTTCATACAGGTCGTCCGAAATCGGCTGTTGTGCCACAAAACATCGATGCTGTCAGAAAACTGATTATGGAAGATCGTCATGTGACCTACCGTGAGATTGAGGCATCTTTGGGCATTTCATCCCACAGCATACATACAATTTTGCATGAACATTTAGCCGTAAAAAAGATTTGCTCTCGTTGGATCCCACATAAATTGACCGATGAACAAAAAATGGCTCGTGTGAGTTGGTGTAAAGAAATGCTCAAGAAATTCAATCGTGGTGCTTCAAAAGACGTTAATAAAATCGTCACTGGTGACGAATCGTGGATATATGCCTATGAGCCCGAAACGAAACAGCAGTCGACTGTATGGGTCTTCCAAAATGAAGATAACCCAACGAAAGTTGTTCGAGCAAGAAGCACTTCGAAGCGAATGGTCGCCTGTTTTTTCGGGAGAAGTGGTCATGTGGCAACCGTTCCACTAGAGGATCGTAAGACCGTCAATTCTGATTGGTATACCACCATTTGTTTGCCCGAAGTGTTTGGTGAAATAAGAAAAAACAACCACCGTCGCAAAATAATTCTTCATCACGATAATGCGAGCTCTCACACATCTTTTCAAACTACTCGATTTTTGACCGGTCAAAACATCGAACTGATGGGTCATCCACCGTACAGTCCTGACCTGGCACCCAATGACTTTTTTTTGTTCCCAAGCGTGAAGAAAAAACTACGTGGTCAACGATTTTCGACACCAGAAGAAGCAGTTGAAGCGTTCAAAACACACGTTTTGGAGATATCAGTTTCGGAGTGGCACGAATGCTATGACAAATGGTTTCATCGAATGCAAAAGTGTATCGATCATCTCGGGGAATATTTTGAAAAACAATAAAACCATTTTCGACAAAAAACAACTGTGTTATATATGTTTTTAAAAAAAATTATGGAGCAACCCTCGTAAGACAATTTCTTCACACCGAAACTCTAAAGAACGTTATCAAAATGTTGTGGAAAAAGGAAACGATTGAGAGAAATGCAGAGTATGCTAATTTATTGGACTACCCATCGATTGACCGAATTTACGACAGTTACAAATATGAACAGAATTTAATGAAAAATCTTACTGCGTCAGACTACAAAAAAAGTTCTGCAAAGGCGATTGAATATCGACAAAAAGGAAATGAATTATTTGCTGAAAAGGGATGGATGCAGGCTATGGAGTACTACAACAAATCATTGTGTTTTGCGAAAGAAGGTTCCGAATTGATGGGATTGGCGTACGCAAATCGATCATCGTGTTTTTTCAACATGCAAATGTACAGCAAATGTCTCACCGACATCGGAAATGCCAAACAAAACAACTATCCACAAGAAAAAATGTACAAATTGGATGAACGAAAAGCTAAATGCTCGGCTATTCTGACGAAGGAGACGGATCAAAGTGACATTTTTGAGCCCAAACTCGATTATGAACCCAATGAAAACTTTCCGTGTTTTGCGAATGTTCTGAGAATTGCGCAAAACAATGAACACGGACGACATGTCGTCGCCACAACGAATATTGACGTAGGCAAAACAGTAATGGTTGATCAAAGCTACTTTGCTGAAACCATTAATCGAAAGTTCGGACGATGCAATATTTGTCTGCGATCAGCTGAAAATCTAAAACCATGCCAAAAATGTGCGTTCACAATGTTCTGTCCAAGATGCGAAGGAAACAGTTTTCATGATATTGAATGTGATATCAATCCAATCTATTTTGGTTCTCTTTCATTTATGAGTTTTCGTATGGTGGTTATTCGTTCGATTTTATTGGCAATGGATGCATATCCTGATATCGATCAATTTATTGCTGCTGTTGAGGATATGCTGTCGATCGATGCAGTCGAAGCGCCCGAATCTTTGTCTGAACCACAATC